TCAAGGACACATGGCACAGTGGATAAAGGCGTTGGTTAGATCCAGGACACAATACCAGGTTAAGGAGTGGAGAACTTTCAGATCAGCAGGAGATAACTGACATCCATCAAACATGGAGATGGAACTAGAACAGTCTACCCCATCAAAAATGGTTCAGTTGGAAATTTCAACCACCTGAAGAAGGCCGGAGCGTACAACGGCCGAAACGTTGCGATAAATAAGGCGAGGATTTCCAAAGATGAGGACAATAGTCCGAATAATGTAAATAATGTACATAATACCTAATCTCAGAAATATAGACAGATACTGAAAGGCCGAAACGTTATAATAAATATGGTGACTATAGTCTGAATAATGTAAATAATGTACATAATACCTCATCTCAGAAATATAGACAGATTCTAAAAATGAATCTAAAATGAATTTGCATTGTTATTGTTCCTGGCCTGGTTCACACATCAACGAGGTTTTTTGTGTTTCCGTTTCCTTGTAAAGTCTTCTATTTCTCTTTCACTCCCAGTAACCCAACCTTGCGTTTTGGTGGCATTATCGATTTACTTGGGGTGAACTTTAAAATAAATATAAAATAAACAAACAATAATGGTGTAATATTTATATGATGCATAAAAAAGTACTATTCAGATTTAAAAGTTATTTTGCTTTAATTTTCTCCAGCTAACAAAATAATGTTGATACAATATGATATAATGGAACAACCTGTCACCTCATGAAAGACTACACTATAGGTAGTAACTAACGGACTACAGCGACTTGCTTGGATCTGTTATTCAGATCTTGGCTGCTGTCAAACTCTCTGCCTTTGGGCAGAGAGGAACTCGGACAAGGCTATGCCGAATGGCAGAGTCTCGTCCGGGGAGGTAAACAGACCCGAACCCGTTTATTCAGGGTTTACGGGGAATTTTTAGCCGAGCCTATGTGCTCGGATTGCCCTACATTAAATTCGCCTTTGTGCCACATCCTACCCCGTGGGGAGGTTTGTATATATTACTGACCCACATTAAATTAAATTATATATATATATATATATATATATATATATATATATATATATATATATTATAAATAAATTGATTTAAAATATGGTTTTAATATAAAATTTTAAAAATCGTAATATACTTGATGTGATAATAATTCTACAAACTGTAAGCGGTTCTAATTACATTAAATTGTTCTTGAAAGAAATATAGTATATTAAAAATTAAAAGTAAAAATATTTCAAATCGTAGTTAAATAAAAAGTATTTTTACCTAGACACCCCCACAAAAAATCTTTAAATATACGAAGAAAAAAATGCGTAATAAATTTAGGCGTTAACAATATAACTTTTAAAAAAATCCAGACGACACGCTTTTAACGGATGTTAGATTTCATTGAAAAATACATCCCTACCCACTACCAAAACGTAGCAATAACTGATACATTAAAATATAGACATGTTGAACACCCAGACACCCCTGTCTAGCAAAATAGATTTATCTGTAACCTTGGAAACATGAATTTTGTTTTAGCTGTGTATTTAAAACCCAGTAATTTTAAAAGTTACTCCAAAATTCGCTTGAGGATGAAATGGAACTAATGTCTTTAATTTAATTACAAAATTAAATTCGGGGCTTTTAGCTTCCATTTTTGAAACATGGTTAGAACTGTGTAGCAAAAAAAAAACATATTTTAAATCAATTAATTTATAATATTAATGCTCTGTAAATTTACATTGAGCACTATTTTGTAAAAATAAAAATATCTATAAGAACACCGGATTATATATCTCACTGTTCTTTCTTTCTTTTTATATATATATATATATATATATATATATCGAGAATATTCATATTCCAATGGATAATATAATGTCATCCAGGTTCAATGGCAGAAAGGCAACATTTGGACCACCATACTTCAATTTTGTAATGAGATCCTTTGCTTGGTCGGCCTTGTTGCATTTTCTTCAAACATGGCAGTTTTGATTCTGACAAACCTACTTCATGGGGAGGCTGGTAAATATTACTATCTGGCATCTGTTATTTAGCTCTTAGCTGTTGTCGGGCAGAGAGGAACCCGGACGAGCCTATGCCGGCAGAGAAGATCCCTAAAGGACAGAGTCTCGTTTCGGGAAACAGCTACCCGGCCCAATTTTATACGTGGTCTACGGGGATTTTTGGTTAAGCCTACGGGCTCGGATTGCCCCACATTAAATTGGGCCTTGTGCCACAAGTGGTGAGGCTGGTAAATATCGTCTAGCTGAGATCTGTTACTCACTCTTAGCTATTGTCGAACTCTCTACTTCGGGCTGAGAGGAACTCGGACGAGGCTATGCCGAAGGGCAGAGTCTCGTCCGGGGAAGTAGACAGACCCGAACCCGTTTATGCGGTGTTTACGGGGAATTTTGGGCGGGACCTACGGGCTCGGATTGCCCTACATTAAATTCGATCTTGTATCACATCCTACCCCGTGGGGTGGTTGGTAAATATTACTAGCTGGGATCTGTTGAGTACGACTCAGACTTACGCAAGAACTACCGACCTTCCATTTGTAGTACTACTGGATTTACTTGCGACGACCTTGCGCATAACTGTTACCTTTATTCGTATTGCACTGCTTTTTTACAATAACTTTACTTATTTTATCCACCTTGTTTTTCAAGTATATATTCCTATTAGCACGGAATATAACACAATATTACATGAACGTTGCAAAAACGTTTCTTTTCTTTTTCTCATAGACACCACGTAACGTACCTTCAATTTTACAACGACGTTTCATTAACAGAAAAAAAGAAAAAATTCCAGGAACTTATTAAAACGTGCATTTATCATCTAAATTTTCAAATAAAAGATATGTATCGTGCTAGAAAAAATTTCTCGCCAGAATCTATCTTATTCATTTATAATTCTACCATTGAATATTGCCGCCATATCTGGTCTGGTGCTTCTACTATATATTTAGAGATTCTTAATAATATCCAAAGGTAACTGTGCAATATTATCGCTCCTGACCTGATATCTCGGCTTCAGTTAACTTCCCACCGCCATAATGTATCTATTATAGAAAAAAGTGAAAACCCAGCTTACAAAATGATGTTACTTCGTTTCTACAAAGTTACGTAATGTTTATAGGAAATAAACTCTATCTCCAACAAAATTACATACCCACAAAGACACCATATTAAAACAAGCCCAAATTTTATTTTCTACGTAATAACGGTTGTGGATTCCGGGGATGGAATCCGGCACAAATAAATAACAACACCAGTAATTGAAATAGGAAAATATGTATTAAACGTAAGAATACAAAATGAAGATTAGTAGTCCAGGAATGCGGGTTAGTAGAAAAGTATATTTACAAGTCTCTGTAATGGAAGCCGTAATTATCTCTCTTTCTGGACTCTCGTAACTCTGAGTGAACACCCTGTGTCGACCTCTCCCGTCACGCTATCTCTCCGTAATCTAAATATACATTGGACGAGTCCCACAATAATAACAGACAATATTTACAAACACGCCAAAAAGTTTCCACATTAAAACACATACTATTTAAATCAAAGTGTGGCGTAATGGATAGCGGCTCGGATTGAGGAATCGGAGAGCCGAGTTCGAATTCCAGTCGAATCTATTACATTCACTTACGTCCTAATACCCTTGGGAAAGGTATGAATAACAGGATAGTGGGTTAGCAGAAAGAAATGGCGGGAAAAAATCTGCCTCGTCTGTGATATATCGAAAGATACATGATCGTCTAAGGTTATATCACGCATGGCACATAACTGAATGTCTATTGGTTATAAATTAATATCATCATGTAAAATATTAGACCAATCAGAGAAAAGAAAAAGTCTATGTTTTTTTCTCGAGCCTCCATTCTGTACTGTACTGTACTGTACTGATGCGGCATTCACCCTGGGCGGATTGAGCCGGCTTCTTCCTGTTATGAGAAGAAGATTCTTGGGATAAATTACAGAAGTAGGGTACACAGGCCTACTCGAATAACGTTCTTGCTTGCCGCGGGTTTCCCACAGACGCAGAGACAGGAACGACCAGAAGCCGCCGGTTACCGATGCAGACGCTCCTTGGATTTTCACCAGAGCCCTTGTTAGCCGGCGTGTGTGTCAGACCTGTCTGTCTCCATTCTGTCCTATAAGTCGTATAAAAATCCACAAATTTTGACTTTCAGGAGCAGAGATGCTACTCTCTCCAAGCCGTTCAAAGATAGATTTTTTTCTCTCTCTTTCTTACCCTCAGCGCGTGCTGAAAGAAACATGTATCGGTGACTTCAAACGAATCATCTGCAACAATAATAGTTTCGTAGGTCAGTGAATCTTCCGGAACGGTCAAAGTCTTTTCGCAACAACAGTTTTTTCTGTGGACCAACTAATCAAAAACTAACTCAACTAAAGACCATTTTTTCTACTCTTTTTTGACTCTTTTCAATTCATATATATATATATATATATGTTTGTAAATACAAATGAGACCATGTTTTCTTTATTTTTATTTTATTATCGTTTAGAATTTGGGCGTTCGGATTTTTAACATAAAAAAACCCTGCATAACTGAATTTCCTACAGAGATAGCAAAAATATGTTTTGCAGACTTCCCACAACATGCCCGTAACGTTACATTTTAATATTAAAAAAATCAAGGACGATACAGGCATTCACCATCTGAATTAATGATTTTCAATTTAATAATTACAAAAAGAAACATTATATCATCTATAGCAGTGATTTGTTTTTTACGGCCTATCAACCTGTTGTAGATTATTTAAAGCCAGAATAATTTTTGGATAGTACGAAATATTTTAGGAATTAATCACGCTTTACTAATACAAATACTAATAGTTAATCCATAGACTGGGGGACAAGAACTTGATTTATACTTTTATTTGTAACGTAAGTGAATATAAAAAACCCAACTGGAATTGGAACCCGGCTCTCCGATATCTAATTCCGAGCGATTATCCAAAACACCACCCGCACATCCAAGCTTACAGCACGTGGTATTCCATAGCGGTTATCCATCTAGTTACTGACCAGGCTCGATGTTGCTTAACTTCGGTGATCGTACAAGTACCAGTGATAAATCGTGATATGGCCATAAGCTCTTCAATACCAAACCATTTTTTCAACCAATTTTCAGTGTCATATCCGCTTCCAAGATTTTCACCAAAATGTGCATTCTAAATAATATGCAGATGACACGTTTGGCATATTCAACATTTGATAATTTTGCAGCAATACGACCTTAAAGGTCTTAGGCAGTTTTAATCAATATTTCTTTCCATGGTTAGCCGTAAGGAATTGTAAATGTAGGACTACCTTACACTTAAGTAAAATAATAACAATAATAATATTTATTAAGAATTTATTACAGGAAATATCAAGTTTTACGGAAACATTGTTGACAATTATGTATTTAGTAACATAACAAATAAATAAAAATAACATAAATTTTAATGCTATATTCGATCTAGAGTCTGTCTATATTTCTGAGATGAGGTATTATGTATATTATTTACATTATTCGGACTATTGTCTTCATCTTTGTCGCCATATTTATCACAACGTTTCGGCCGTTGTACGCTCCGGCCTTCTTCAGGTGGTTGGAATTTCGAAATAAAGTAAGCGAAATAAAGGGTTCAGTTCGACATTCCAACCACCTGAAGAAGGCCGGCCGGAGCGTACAACGGCCGAAACGCTGTAATAAATATGGCGACAAAGATGAGGACAATAGTCCGAATAATGTAAATAGTGTATATTCGATCTATTTCGATATTTTTCATTTTCTCCTTTGTTATTGGCAATATTTTAGAATACTTTGACGGCAATGCTAAGTTATACCAATTGGAACTATTTTCTTTACACTTTGTTACCTCTCTTTTCCATTGTTGTTTTTAGATCGTTTTCTTCCGATCATTTTGATGGGCAATAATGAAATTCTTAAATTTAGAATGATCCTATTTCAGAATTTAACCTGTAAAAAGGAATATTTTGAATTAATATACGATTAAAAATAAAATGTTTTTAACAAAAACCTTAATGATTTCACTATAATTATGCAACAATAATTTAATGATATTCCGCAGACAGATCTATGCTTTATGTTACCTCATCTCATTGCATTTTTACGAACTATAAACCTAAATTGAGCTTGAAGTATTGTGTAATCGGCTCTAATTTTTTGTGAAATACTTGGAGATGATATAATGAATAATTTGAAGTGAAAAAAAAACAATTTTCGATTTTTCGTTGAATCCGCCTCTCCTTCACTGGACGCGTTATATAGAATAGAAAATCATCATTTTTGTCCATTTTTTTTTTTTTTTTTTGAGGTTATTTTTTCTTTTACATTCATTTTACATTTATAATCCCATGAAACATCGAAAATCCCCCAGAAATTTTTCTTTGGAAATTTTTCCGCTGTCGCTTTTCGCAACGTTACCGTAAGGTAACAACATTAGGGTGAGCGGTCAGTTTGGGGACAGAAAAATAGTTGATTGTAAAGTTACAGTAATGTACAATGTCCGATACAACGTGAATATGAAAACAAAGGTAAGATCATCAGTCCGAACAATGTAAATAGTTACAATACCTCATATCAGAAATATAGACAGATCCTGAAAAAGGCCAGAGAATACAACGGCCGAAATGTCAAGAATATGACAACAAATATGAGAACAACAGTCCGCACAAAGTAAATAGTGCAAATAGTTACAATACCTCACCTCAGAAATATAGACAGATCCTGAAGAAGGCCAGGGTGTATAGCGGCCGAAACGTCAGGGGTATACAACGGCCGAAACCGCGAGAATATAATGACAAAGATGAAAACAACAGTCCGAACAATGTAAATAGCGTAAATAGTTACAATTCCTCATTTAAGAAATATAAATAGATCCTGAAGAACGTCGGAGAGTACAACGACCGAAACGTCGAGAATATGGTAACAAAGATGAGGACAAAAGTCCGAGCAATGTAAATAGTGTAAATAGTTACAATACCTCATGTCAGAAATATAGACACATCCTGAAGAAGGCCAGGGCGTATAGCGGCCGAAACGTCAGGAAAATAACGAAAAGATGAAGACAACACTCCGAACAATGTCAATAGTGTAAATAGTTACAATTCCTCATTTCAGATATATATAGATAGATCCAGGAAAACGCCGGAGAGTACAACGGTCGGAACGTCGGGAATATGGCAAAAAAATGGTGACAATAGTCCGAGCAATATAAATAGTGTAAATAGTTACAATACCTCACACCAGATATGTAGACAGATCCTGAAGAAGACCAGGACTTACAACGGTAGAAACGTCGAGAATATAACGACAAAGATGAAGGCAACAGTCCGAGCAATGTAAATACTGTAAATAGTTACAATCCTTCATTTCAGATCTATAGATAGATCCTGAAGAACGTCGGAGAGTACAACGGCCGAAACGTCGTAAATATGGCAACAAATATGAAGACAATACTCCGAGCAATGTAAATAGTTACAACTTACCTCAGAAATATAGACTGATTCTGAAGAAGGCCAGGGCGTCGTACACCGGTAGAAACGTCGGGAATATAGCGACAAAGATGAAGAAAACAGTCCGAAAAATGTCAGTAGTGTAAATAGTTAAAATACCTCATTTCAGATATATATAGATAGATCCTGAAGAACATCGGAGAGTACAACGGCCGAAACGTCGTAAATATGGCAACAAATATGAGGACAATAGTCCGAGTAATGTAAATAGTGTAGTTACAATACCTCATGTCAGAAATGTAGACAGATCCTGAAGAAACCCAGGGAGTACAACGGTCGAGACGTCGAGAATATAACGACAAAGATGAAGACAACAGTCCGAAAAAATGTAAATAGTGTAAATAGTTACAATCCTTCATTTCAGATCTATAGATAAATCCTGAAGAAGGCCGGAGCGTACAACGGCCGAAATGTCGTAAATATGGCAACAAAGATGAGGACAACAGTCCGAACAATATAAATAGTGTAAATAGTTATAATACTTCACCTCAGAAATATAGACAGATCCTGAAGAAGGTCGGGGCGTACAACGGCCGAAACGTCGTGAATATAACAACAAAGATAAAGAGAACAGTCCAAAAATGTAAATAGTGTAATTAGTTACAATACCTCCTTTCAGATCTATAGATAGATCCTGAAGAACGTCGGAGAGTACAACGGCCGAAACGTTGTAAATATGGCAACAAAGATGAGGATAATAGTCCGAGCAATGTTAATAGTGTAAATATCCTCCCCTATTGTATTTATGAATGTTTGTCACGAAAGTTTTGTTTCCGTTTTGCAATGACACGCTCAGATCAAAATAAAGAAAACAGATCGCGTAAATAAACCCGAAAATAAAACTTGTAAAGTGCTTTTTTTTGTTTTTAAATAAAATGAATAAATAATAAAAAAAAAAAAATAGTATGACTCGTATTTTTTATTATTTTCCTTTCATTCATAAATAACGTTGACCCACAATACATTTTTACTCTTTGTATGCACACAAATCATAACATCCGGTTCCCCTGAAAGAAAAACTAAAATATAAAATTTATTCCTCAATATTATGAGGTGGATGGACTGACTTAGAAATAAAAATAAAATAAAAAATTAAAGTTGAGAAAGAGATTAATCCATCAGTAATGGAAACAAACAAAAGCAAAAAAAAAGTTAACAGTCAACTTTGATTTTTAAAAATGTAAGTACTCTTCTCCTTTTTTTATTTCTTATTAGACTGCTTAGCTTTTGAAATGCATCTTTGTCTATCCCAATACGCCTTTGAATTTCAGTGTCAAATTTAGCGTCCTCTGTGTACTTAAAAAATCGCTTGTGTTTCGGGAGGGGTTAGTTGGTCGGGGATCGCCTCGATGCTATGAAAATGAAAATAGAATGAAAACAGTTTAACTTTAAATGAAAAATTTGAAATAAACTTCTAACTTAGTAACCATGGTGTTCTATACTGTAAGTCTAGTTATGAGGCAACTAATTTTAAATGAAAAATATTAAATTCACTTTAAATGAAAAATCTGAAGTAAACTTCTAATTTTGTGACCATGGTGTTCTATATTACAAGTCATGGTGCAACTAATTTTAAATGAAAAATGTTAAATTAATTTAAAATTAAAAGTTTGAAGCACAACTTTAATGCTGTGACCATCGCGTTCTATACTACAATCCTAGTCATGGTGCAACTAATTTTAAAGGAAAAATGTTAAATCAAATTCTGATTAACAATACCAAGATTCGTTAATTTCATTTCTTGTGAATTTTGTTAAAACAAGTTTATTTTTGCAATAAATATAAAATGATATAGCAAGTTCGAAATTTAAAAAAAAGGTTTTGTACTTTAATTAAATCAACTAGACTTATTTCCAAATGTAAAAGCAAATATTTCTTAACCGATTACAGAACGACTACCAAACGAAACTGAAACTAAAATGTCTCACTCCGAGTGGAACGAAGATCTTTTGAAATAGGCCTCTAGTTCTGGAACTTAATTTCACCATTATTAAGCTTGTTGTATGGAAAGCCATGTGTCTGACCAAAGGCTAGGCTGCAAGGAATTAATGTCGATCGAAATGCCAGGAATCACATGACATTTCGAATTGCGTTATTGATGAAACGGACAAAGACACCCTAGGGTGGCGGATAGCAAAGTTTCGACCAGTTTACAAAGAAAAAAAATAAAAGATATGTTTTTTCTGCATGGGTACTTAATTGGACAAGATATTTATTTCTTCCCTTACCTTTTAGTTTGAAGCAACATCATATATCCATCATCCCAAAATATATTCTCTTCATCACCAAAGAGATACTTTTTTTCCAGGAAATTTAATTCGATTTTCGTTAATTCACAAGTAACGAGCCCCGTAATCTCATAAGGATCAAAGGGACACAGCGCATGTACCGCGGCCTTAGCAGTAATTGTGAGTCTTGATGGAGCGTAAACCTCTCCCGGTTGGTTTCAATACAGATTTACCAACCATGGTTATAAGGCGCACTCTGTCCTGCTATTTGTCTATACCTGAGGGGAGGAGAGATGGAAACCTATCCCAAGGGTATTTTCGCGTAAGTGAATGTAACAAG